GCAGAGAGAGAGAGAGAGAGAGAGAGAGGAGAGAGAGAAGTAGAGGCGCACGGCGAGAGGGGCGACTCGGAGTGAGAGAGGGAGAGAGAGACGAGAGAGGAGGAGGAGAGAGTGAGGAGACAAAAGGGGTGGAGAGCAAAGGAGAGAGACCGCAGGGAGGGGCAAGGAAGCAAGAGGAGGAGGGAGGGAGAGGGAGGAGGGAGAGATGAAGAGAGAGCTAGAGAGATAGAGAGGAGAAAGAGACGAGACGGCCTGAGACACGATCGAGAGGAGGATTAGAGAGACACGAGAGAGAGAAGAGAGAGAGAGAGAGCGTCGAGAGGTCTGCCCCGGGTAAACCCCCCCCGCGTCAACCGTCTGCTTGGAGGGAGGAGGAAGGGGAGAGAGAGAGAGACGACGAGAACGGGAGACGAGAGAGGAGGAGACGGGAGGAGAGAGAGAAAGAGCAAAGAAAAAAAGACAGACCAGAGGGAGGAGATAGTAGAGAGAGAGGGGCACCCGGCGGGGGAGGGATGGGAGAGAGGCGGGAGGAGAGGAGATAGGGAGGGAAGAGGAGAGAATAAAACGATGCGGCGAGCTGGGGAGAGAGAGCCGGAGGAGGGAAAGAGGCAGGCGGCGAGTCCGAGACAGAGATGCAGTAGGAGAGCAGCAGAAGAGGGAACCGAAACGAAGGGCGCGCGGGGAGGGGGAGGATGAGAGAGCAGAACAGAGAAGACAGGAGGAAGGAAGACGAGCAGAGGGGACACGAAGAGAGACTGCAGACGAGGCAGAGGAGAGAGACGGAGAGAGAGACGGAGATGAGAAACTGAGGACAGAGAGTGCGAGAGACGGAGAGAGACAAGACAGACAGAGAGAGAGAGAGAGACAGCGCAGATGGAGGAAAAGCACGAGAGGGAGGGGGCAGGAAAATGGAGAGTGAGAAGATGAGAGAGGAGAGAGACTAGAGAGAGAGAGACGAGAGGACGAGAGGATGGACGACGAGAGCAGATGAGGAGACTACATCGACGAGAGAGAGAGAGAGAGGAGAGAGAGAGAGACACACTGGCGCGAGAGAGAGGAAGAACTTCGAACAGAGAAGAAGAGACGAGAGAGAGAGAAGAGACGAGAGGAGAGAGAGATGAGACGAAGAGACGGGCCCGGGAGAGGGAAGAAAGAGAAGAGAGGGAGGACGAGCGAAGAGAAGAGAGAGAGATAAAGGCGAGAGAGAGAGAGGAGAGAGGGTGCAGGGGAGAGGGCCAGAGCGGGAGCAGGCAAGAAGGCCGGTCGAGCAGGG